TGTGTCCATTCCATCTCCCCATTACTTGTGAATTGCAAGTGTCTTGAGCATAGGGATTCATGTATCCCTCATCTCTATATCCCAGGACCTGGCACAATGACTTGTGACCAACAGTAGGTGCTTAATAAGGGTCCATTGAATAGTAGGGTGACTGCTCCCACAGAGGAATGACTTCAGTCTGTCGCCATCACTGAGTCCTCCTTGGAGTCAGATCCCAAACACGTAGATGAAGTCTCCCTTTAAAGGAGTAGAGGGTTCTGTATGTTGGTAAATTGAACACCAATAAAAAATAAATTTATTTTTAAAAATTAAAAAATAACAAAAATTATTATTTTTATTTTTATTTATGATAGTCACAGAGAGAGAGAGAGAGAGGCAGGGACACAGGCAGAGGGAGAAGCAGGCCCCATGCACCAGGAGCCCGATGCAGGACTCGATCCCGGGTCTCCAGGATCGCGCCCTGGGCCAAAGGCAGGTGCCAAACCGCTGAGCCACCCAGGGATCCCAAAAAAAATAAATTAAAGGAGTAGAGGGGTGACCTTTTCTTTCCCTGCCATTATGTGAGGGCCCTGCAGTTTGGACCAGTCACAATGGGAAGTGGCCAGACCTAGGACATGGAGTCAGGTGGCTGAGAAGCCCCAGGACGGGACAGGCTCTGGACCTGGATCTGTCCAGACCAGGCCTCCTGGAAGTGGGTGCCCACACCTGGGCTGCTCATTGCAGGTAGACAGGCAGGTGGGGGCACTTGAGGTTGGAGGAGGGTGGAGCAGGACTTGGGCTGGGGGCCCTGGAAAGATGGTGCAGGAACAGGCTGGCTGTGTTGGCCATGCCATCTGGCAAGCCCAAGACCTGCTTGAGTTCAGTTCATCCACCTTAAACCAAACAAAGCCATTGTTTCCTCCACCCATCAGCGGGCCCCATGACTCAGATCTAATGGATCCTGCATCCTCATCATCAAGGAGGGGCTGTATTTCTCGGGTATCAGTCCAAGGCTTAGCAAGAAGTGTGAAGGCTGCTGGGCGAGGCTGGGAAGTGTTGGCTTAGCCAGCACGTACGTCCCAGCCCTCACTCCACCCTGGGCCAACACAGGGAGGAACTACCAGCATCCCTGCCAGAGCCAAGTTTTAGGGAATCTCTGTCTTTATTGTACTGATATTAGCATTTGCGTAGATGCTTACGGCTTTTAGTGCTTGACCTCTGCTCTGCTTCCAGGAATCTGCACTCAAGCTGCTTCCTTGGCATCACAGTGTCTGCACACATCTCACCTCACACTCTCCTCTTTAGGGTCCTCGCAATTGCCCTGGGAATCAGGCTGGTGATGGTACATGTCAGGGGGCCCATTTCCCAGATGTGAGAGCATTACAAGTCCAAGAGAAGCAGGGATGTACTCAAGTTCACCCAATGAATTGGTCTGGGCTGGGAGCTGAGTTTGAGCTGGCCCTCTCCTCCTGCCACTCACTTCCATGTCCAATCTACTCTAACCACAATGAACTCCTTGGTATTTACTTCCTGAGCATACCAAGCTTGCTTCTGTCCCAGGGCCTTGGCCCTGTGGTTCCTCCTTTTGGTGAACTCTTCCCCTAGATCTCTGGAGGACTCACTCCTTCTTGCTTACATGATTCAACAGCTACATAGGAAGCAGAATCTATATACTCAGAGGGAAGGCAAACAAGGTCACACAGTCTGCTTCTGGATTCCACTGCTGGAACGTGGGATGTGGGGTGGGAAGCAGTGATCTGATCTCCCCGGTGGTTCCGGACTCACCGCATGCCCCTCTCCATTTAGCGACCTCACTTTAGCTGCCTTGGCCTCTCTGTTTTCTGGAAGTGCCAAGCTTCTTCTTGCCTCTGGGCCCTCACACATTGTTTCCTGTATCTGCAACACTGTTCCACTTTGCTACAGCCTGACCCAGGCACTCACCCCTTGGCCTTCTCTGACTTCCCAGATGGAAGGTCATTCTTGGATCCTCCCAAAGCAGAGTGTGTCTCATTTGTAGGACTTATTCTGATGGTGATGATATAGCTCTGCTGCTCATTTGGTACCAGTCACCCACTTAATGGCAAGCTGCTTGAGGGCAAGAATTGTGTCTGACTTATTCTCTGCTATGTCCAACACATGGAGCTTAACTGCTTATTAAAACCCAGTTAAGGGACACCTGGATGGCTCAGCGGTTAAGTGTCTGCCTTCCGCTTAGGGCGTGATCCCGGAGTCTCAGGATTGAGTCCCACATCGGGGTCCCCACAGGAAGCCTGCTTCTCCCTCTGCCTATGTCTCTGTCTCTCTCTGTGTCGCTTGTGAATAAATAAATAAAACCTTAAAAAATAAAATAATAAAATAGAATAAAATGCAGTTGAGTGAATGAATGGATTCTGGATAAATACATGAGGTATATTTGGGTACACTGACATTTATAGGGGGTGCTGTCCAATAGCAGTTGGATATAGGAGTCAGGCTCGTATTTTGGTGGAAGGACAGATTTGAAGTTTGTCACTATGAGTGAATCTAGGAGGTGTTTGTCTAAAGAAAGAGACTTTGGGCAGGGAGGATAGCAGGTGGGCCCAGGGCCCACAGGCTGCCCTTGATTTTACTCTGAAGTTTAGAGGATGCAGAATTCAAGCTTCCTGGTCCCTTGAAGAAGCTAGAAGTATCAGCAGACATTTCTGCCACATTAATAAAGGCCTAAGGTCCAAAAACAAGGGAGGTGATGAACTCATCTGTTTTCCCCTGTCCCCTTCTCACTCTAACCTGGATCACAGGCAGACAAACCTGTGGGCAGACCAGATGAGAAATGCAGAGGTCCAAGAACTTCATCAGGCAGAAAGGTGGGGGAAGGCAAAGGGCTGGACCTGCTTAGCCTGGAGATGTTCACCTGGGACTCATGCAGGTATGCAGGTGCAGGAGGCTAGAGACAGAGCTGGGAACCATCTTGGGAGTCTTGGGGAAATGGATCTCTTGTGTGAGGAAGAACTCAGTTCAAAGCCATTCAATAATGAAACTGGTAGATAGTGAGCTCCGCATCCCTAAAGGTTGAATGACTTTGTGGTGGGGCTGCTGTAGGAAGGTGTGAGAAGTGGTAGACAGGACCTAGGTGACCTTTAAATTTACCTCCCCACCCTTTATGAAATGTTTTTGCTCTAGGGCAGGAAGTCATTATTAAATATTTGTTCTGCGTGGCTAAGCAATGGAGGGATAGCTGCCACCTGCCTTAGAGGCATCTGTGGGCCTGTGTGTTTCCTGAGGAGGGGCAGGAGGTGAGTCATAGATCTGAGGCTGGGCTTGGCTACAGGCCTGGGCCTCCATCAGTTTGTAGGGGTGACTGTCTGGCTAGCTCCCTGAAGCCCCCAAAGGGTCTATTCTCAAATAAGAATCTTTCCCATTAACTAATTTATCCTTTGTTGTTGTTGTTGTTGAGATTTTACTTATTTATTTGAGAGAGTGAGTGAGAGAGAGGGCATACATAAGCTTGGAGGAGTGGCAGAGGCAGAGGGAGAAGCAGAACCCCAGCTGAGCAGGGAGCCCAACTTGGGGCTCGATCCCAGGACCCTGAGAACATGACCTGCGAGCTTAACCGACTGAGCCACCCAGGCACCCCGATTCATTTAATTTTCTTACAACTTACCTATAGGCTTGAAATCTTTCAAAATAAAAATAATTTTTAAAACATTGAAACTTAGATGTATGTATTTTAGAGACTCAGTGTCTGTAGTTTTAAATTCTTCCCAGGGAAATGGAGTCTGTAAATGGAGCTAAAAAACACTGATCTAAATTAATCAGAGAAATGCATATATAAATAAAATTTTATTACTCTGTTTATAAATCAGAAAGTCTTTGAAAGCAGATAACCAAATATCTGATATACATCGTATAAGTATGGGGGAGTTTTAGGTACTGATTTTTCTTGAAAAGAATCTTGTCTGTATTTAGCCCATTAAAACACAAAAGGCACATGATACATGCAAAGCATGAGGGCATCTTTTTTTTTTTTTTTTTTTTTTTTTTTTAGAGAGAGAGAGAGAGAGCATGGGGTGGGGGGCGGTCAGAGGGAAAAGGAGAGAGAAACTCAAGCAGGCTCCATATCCACCATGGAGCCCAACATGGGGGCTTGAGCTCATGATCCTGAGATCAAGACCTGAGCTAAAACCAAGAGTTGGATGCCTAACTGACTGAGCCACCCAGGAGCGTGGAAGTCACCGTTATGTTTTATTTTACCTTCCCCCCTTCTCCTCCCCATATCAATTGTGCCCTTTCATAGTAAGGGGGAAAAAAGACATGAAAAGAACCATTTATTTATTTACTTATTTATTCATGAGAGACGCACAGAGAGAGGCAGAGACATAGGCAGAGAGAGAAGCAGGCTCCCCAAGGAGCAGGGAACCCGATGTGGGACTCGATCCTTGAACTCCGGGATCACGCCGAGCCGAAGGCAGATGCTCAACCACTGAGCCACCCAGGTATCCTGAAAAGAACCATTTCTATTTATATTTACACCTCACTTCATCCTCTGCAAAATGTTTTCTCATCCGCTGTCCCCACTGTCCTCTTTACAGCAGCCTCAGGAGGGAGACAGAGTCAGAACTGCCATCTCTATGTTGTGCATGGGTAAACTGACACCTAGTTAAGGAGAATGTCTTTTTGACAGTCACAAAGTTGTTTGGTGAAGGCACTTGCAAAGTCACCCATGGCTCCAGCCCCTTTCTCTGCCTTCCGCCCCCTTTCAGTTGCTGCTTTTCTTTTTGTTTCTCTTTCCTTCTGATCTGCCTGTCTCTCCTTTCTGTCTTTTTGACTTGGTTTCTCTTTTTCTACTTCAATTTCCCTCTCCCTCTTGCTCCAGCCCTCAGATTGGTGGCAGCTCTGTAGGTTGTCCAAACTTCTCCTCACTCTGGAAATATGCCAGCCCCATGGGCACAGCCTCAGGCCACCACAAGCTTAGCATCTCTGGTGCCATGGTGCAGATATTAACTTGATGCCACTCCCGGCCTCTCCATCTGGCCCTAGATAAGATAAGAGTGAGGATCAGCCTTATAAACAGGCCTCAATCATTGCCCTGCCCCAGACCCCTGCTAGCTTGGACCACATCAGCCCAGGATCAGCATGGCTGTCCGCCTGTGGGTGGTCGCCCTGGCCATGGCCACCCTCCTCATTGTGGACAGAGGTGAGTGGACAGAGCCTGGATTCTCTGTGACTTGGTGTTGGTAGATAAGCTTGTGTTGGGGGCAGAGGCAGAGTCTGGTGCATCCTGTGACGGCTTGGTTTTCTGCATAGAACTTCTTTCTGTACCTCTCCATTGTGGTGGGACCTGGGTTCAAATCCTGACTCTGGCCCAGAATTACAAAAGCCCCTTTCCTCTTGGGGCCTCTGTTTTTCCAGCTATGGAATAGGAAGTCCATCTAGCTCACTAAGAGTACCTTGCTGGGCAGCCCGGGTGGCTCAGCGGTTTAGCGCCACCTTCAGCCCAGGGCCTGATCCTGGAGACCCGGGATCGAGTCCCACGTTGGGCTCCCTGCATGGAGCCTGCTTCTCTCTCTGCCTGTGTCTCTGCCTCTGTGTGTGTGTGTGTGTGTGTGTGTGTCTCATGAATAAATAAATAAATATCTTAAAAAAAAGAGTACCTTGCTACTCACTAGAGTACCTTGCTACTCTAAGCAACTACTTGGTGAGAGATCTGGGAAGCAGCAGGGAGCAGGCCTGTCTCAGGAGAGACAGGTAAATCTGCGGGCTGCAAGGTAGTAGGTGCTGAAGGAAGCCTGGCCTTGGTCCTCTGAGGTCCTATCTGCTGTGACAGGCTATGCTTGTGGGATGGACAGCAGCTGTGTGAGGAGCGGTAGCCTTTGTCCCAGGCTGGACACATGCTGGAGTAGGGCCTCCTTAGGGCCTGGATCACCTCTGTGGTCTCACATCTACTGTGTATCAGTCATTGTTCTGGGCCCTTAAGACATATCAGTGAGCAAACATAAAGAGAACTACCTTGATGGAGCTTCAATCCAATGGAGTAGGATGGAAGGGAATAGACAATAAGATAGGTACAATGTTAGAAGGTTATAGAGGCTAAAGAAGAAATATTGGGCAGGGTGAAGAGGGGGCTGCAGTGCTAAATCAGGGGGTTCTCTCCTAGAACAATGCTTGAAGCGGGGAAGGGAGTGAGCCGTGTGGATATCTGGGAGGAGAGGGTTTTGGACAGAGGGGACGGACAGTACAAAGGCCTTGAGGTAGGAGGACGGCTGGAGTGTTTGAGGTATGGCAAGGAGACCAGTGTGGCAGGAAGGGAATGAGACGCAGGGTGCAGAGCAACGGGAGAAGAGATGATAGAGGCAACTGGGAACCATACTGAGTAATGTAAGGCCAATATGAGAACTTGGCTTTCCCTCTGAATGAAATGGGAGACACTGAAGTGTTTTGAGCAGAGTTGTGTTAAAAGGATCACTCCAGTTGCTATGCTGAGAACAGACTAAAGGGCGAAGCAGGGAGACTACTTAGGACCCCCTCTGGACAGCTACTGACCTTATGGTCCACTCTCATTTCCCTGAGGACATAGTCCTAGGGGCTAGGGCAACAGAACATGGGTCTGGGGGCTCTGGCCCAGCATAGCCTGCTTACTCCCAGCTTGGCATCCATTCCCTTAGCAGTTTTCCTATTGGGAACACTGAAGAGGCCTATCCTGAAGAGTCCTTGTGCCCGTTTCAGATTCCTGCCTGGCCTGAGGACAGGGGTCAAGGGCAGCCTGAGAGTAAATGCAACCTGTTCCCACATCCTCCAGGAAAAAGTTCTGATACCACAGGCTTCTGAACTCCTCCTCCCAACAATGCACGTTAGTTGGTCAGTTCCTGAACACCCACTCTGTGGGGGGCATTGCTGCATGGGGGCAGAAATATAGGAACCCCAAGGAACTCAGGTCCGTAGGGAGGCAAGAGTGACCCAGTGAGTGGGACAGTATGTGGTGATATGAAAGAAGATGCTATGATGGTCCCCAAAATACATGTTGAAATCCTAATCCCCAAGGTGATGGTATTGGGAGAGGACTAGGTCAGTCATGAGGGTACAGCCCTCATGAATGCGATTAGTGCCCTTACAAAAGAGACCCCGGAGAGTTCCCTTGCTCCTTCTACCATGTGAGGACACAGTGAGAAGGCACGAGCTATGAACTGGGAAGAGGGCCCTCACCAGATGCCAAATCTGTCAGTGCCATGACTTTAGACTTCCCAGCTTCTAAAACTGTGAGAAATGTTTATAAGATCCCCAGTTTATAGTATTTTGTTATAGCAGCCCCAATGGACAAAAACTGGAGCCTAAATCTGGGTCTGCTCAGGAAACCCTAGGGGACATCAGAGAAGGCTTCATGGGGAAGTAGCATCTAAATCTTGAAATGAAGATAAAATCAGTAGAAGGGGGAGAAGGACACTTCAGGTAGAGAGACACAGTACAGGCTGAAGCAGAGTCTGTCCTGGAAGAGCTGAGAGGCATAGGAACATGGGGAGATGTACTAGGAAGTAAGTCCAGGAGCAAGTTTGTTATGAGCTCATGCAGGGCCCTAATAGGATGAAGTAGCTCAGTTATCACAAAGAGCCACGGAAGGCCTTTACATTTTTTTAGTGCTTTTTGTCTTTTAAAAAATATTTTATTTATTTATTTATTTATTTATTTATTTATTTATTTATTTATTTATTTATTTATTTATTTATTCATGAGAGACAGAGAGAGAGGCAGAGACATAAGCAGAGGGAGAAGCAGGCTCCTGCAGAGAGCCTGATGCAGAATTCGATCCCAGGACCCCGGGATCATGACCTGAGCTGAAGACAGACACTCAACCACTGAGCCACCCAGGTGCCCCTTTTTAGTGCTCTTTCATCCCCTAACAGTCATGTACCACTAAATAAACAAATCTTATCACTCAATGAGTCATACTCAATGAATTTTGACAGTGCACGTACCCATGTAACCCAAACCTCTATCAAGATAAAAAAACATTTCTGGGGTGCCTGGCTGGCTCAGTCAGTAGAACATGCAACTCTTGATCTCAGGATTGTGAGTTTGAGCCCCATGTTGGGTGTGGAGCCTAGTTACAATAAAAATTAAAAAAACAAAGAACAAAAAATGTTTCCTATACCCCAGAAACTTCCCTCATGCTGGTCAGTCTCTTCCATTTCCCTACTCTTGAGGCAATCACTGCTTTTTTTCCTACCGTAAATGAGTTTGGTCTGTTCTAGAATGTCACATAGAAAGTTGTATTTATCCCCAAGCTGTTCTTGACCTTGGCCTACGGTGCCTTTCATAATAGCGTGTAGCCTTGTGTCTGGCTTCTTCTGCTCAGCGTGTTTTGAGATCCAGCCATGTTGCTGGATAGATCAGTTGTTTGCTTGTTTTATTGCTGAGGTGCATCCCAGTGTACATATATCATAGTTTACCCATTCTGTTGAAGGATATTTGGATAATTTCTCGTTTCTAGTTTCGTAATCATGGGTTTTGAGCATGCGGTGACAAGGTTGGGTTTGCATCTTAATGCCTCAGTGCCAAGCTTAGATAGCCTATCAGAGGTCACTTCATCTCAATTCCCTTCTCCCTCTCTACCTTGGAAATCTCTTATAATAGCAACCCCAGGAAAAGCTAAAACTGCAGCAGTAGGCACACCTCCAGTGAGGGAGAACTATTTCTGGAGACAGTTCCTTCATTGAAGCAGTTTCCACGGAGAAAATTCTGGAACACAAACTTGCCTCCTGCAGCCTCCTTGCAAGAATGGGCTCTGCCCTGTGAGGTTGAGAAGACCTTGGCCCCTTGAACAGCCCTTAAGAGACTTCAGGAAGCATCCTGCCCTTCTCCCATTTACATCGACACTTTTCCTTCCACCTGTGGCATTAGATGTGGCTCTGTTCCTCATCCACCTGTCATATTCATCAGTCACGTCAGTTTGTTCACATCCTGTGAGCAGGGGCACCTAGACTTGGAAGAGCTGAAATGCACAACTGTGTATATGAAAAGAACCAGGCTAGGGAGTGACAGATCTGTGTGCAATCCCAGCTCAGCCCTTAACAAACCGTATGGTTTTAACTTCTGAGCCTTTTTCAGACTCAGGTTCGCATGCGGTGTCTTGGGGTGTGCTCATGGGATACACACACAAAGATGGGGAAAGTTGTGATGCAGTACAACAGAAGCCTCCAATGACCCTACTGGGAGCTTTGGATCTGGGGTGACCTTTCAGAACTGTTTAATAGAGATGAAGGATTCTGGTCATTGTATCAATATCCACTTGTCATTGGATATGGCCTGTTCCTGGGTAGGGGATGCAACCATGGGTGAGGCATTCTGTTCTCTAAGAGTAATTTCTAAGAAAGGACTTGCTGTGAGTGGCTAATACTCCTGGCACCTGAGGAAATGAGCACCTTGGTTCTACCTGAGGGCGGGATGTGTGTAGCAGATGGCAGCATCCACCACTGCCCCCTTGCTTTCCCAGTACAGAACAGTGAGAGAGCTGTGAAGAGTATTTAAGATCATGTATTCTCAATGTTTGGCCCACAGTAACTGAGTTATTTTGATAATCATATGGGCCATAACAATCCCAGTGGAATCAGGCTGGACTGTCACCTCCCTAACTCTAGATCTTCTGTCTCTGTTCTAGCAACCCAAGGTCACAACAGCTTTCTGGGATTCCCCACCGTCTGGTGACTCAATACATTTCCTTAAGGAATTCCAGACTGGGTGGTAGCTGGAACAGGTTTCCTTTTTTTTTTTTTTTTCTGGAACAGGTTTCCTAAAGCAGTCCTCAGACCCCAGACCAGTTGCCTAGAGCCATCATCACCTCACTCTTCCATTTTTGCCTTTCAGAAGTGCCAGTGTCTGCGGTAAAGGTCATTTCCCCAAGAATGGTAAGGCAGCTGTTTCTAGTTTTGGCCCTGGGCTGCTGTCCTGGCCTTCCTTCTGCATCCATGCTAAGAAACCAGCATTTGTCTTATGCTTCTACTCAAATAACTCTGATGGCTTCAAAGTGGCTAGTGTAGCCTCCTGAGACTGCATGCTCCCTAGGTTAAGCCTTCCATACTGAGTTGGCCAAGCGCCTTCACCAAGGTCTCAAACTTGGTTTCCAGGACCTTGAGACCTGTCCCAACCTGGTTTCCAATATTCCTGCCAGCAGCAAGATCCCCTGCCCAGGCTGAGCAGGACTGAGTGCACTTTCTGCTTTGTGTAGTGAAGAGGGACAGGCCATGGGGTTCAGGCCAGAGGTACCCTGGCCCCCTGATGTGGTCTAGCCTCCCCCAACCACACCCCATCGTCCATCCAACCCTTTACTCTGAAGGAAAGACACCAAGTCTGAACCCCTGATTCCACTTTGGTCCTGGGTCTGATATCCCCAAGGCAGTGGGGCTGGCCTCTTTGAGAGGCCAACCTTCACCTAGGTGAACAAGGAGGCTCAAAGCCACCTTCCCATCCAGCAGCTGCCACATCTGCACTGTCAGCCCATCAGACCCAAACCTATTATTGTCCCAGATGATACATGGTTTCAATTAACCGTACATTAAAAGAATACTATTATTCATTTACAGTGTTTACAGAGGAGGAAACTGAGGTTCTGAGAGTGGAGATAGCTCTCACAACTTCACACAGCTCATCAGCACAGAAGTCAGGCTCTTGGTCTCATGACCACCACCCCACACTGCCTCTCTCACCCCATCCTGTCCCACTCTTCGATCCCAGTCCTGACCTGGGGCCTGCCCTGAAACTCTCTCAGACTAGCCTCATTTAAGTCTCAAGCCCTGTCTCATTTCTCCAACCATCCCACACCAGGGGCCCAATGGGTCATGTTGGCCAGTGTGAGTGGAGGAGCTCTCACAATGGAGGGGCCCCCTGGGAATCCTGGGTGGTTCTGTCTCCTGGAGTCCTCACAGAGACCAGCAAGAGAAGTTCTAGTTAGACCCTCTGAAGAGCGTGTGAACCCACCCCCAGAAGCTTGAGGGCATAAACTCATTCGATAGACATAAACACAGACATATACTTGGATGCCCACAGACCTGTGTTCAGCAGATGTGTGTACAGAGCCACAGCCATATGCCTAGTACTATACACACACCTAAGCAAACATGTTGAGATGCCCTGAATGGTTAGTTTCATGCCTGTTGGACCAACACTGGGGCCTTCTTGAATCTGGCTCTTCCCTGGAGCCCCTGACTCCAAGCAAAGTCCCTGGGTCCCTTCTCGCTGCCTCTGAATCACTGCGTGCCCTTCACCCTTTCCTCTCTTTCACAGCCCATCTGTGAGCACATGGGGGAGTCTCCAGTCTGTGCCCAGACATCCAACCCAGTCTGTGGCACTGATGGCGTCACATATGACAATGAATGCCAGGTCTGCTTGACTCGGATGTAAGTCTACCCTACACCTTCCCCTCAGCTTGCTTGGGGGGGCCTTATCTCTGGTGCATTCCAAGTGTAAAGAGAGCAAAACTTGATCTGCCTTATTTATACCCTTGGCCTGAGAAGAGTCGTCTGACATTGCCCCTAACAGAATCAGCCCAAGTCTATTTCAGAGAAGGCACATGGTTCCAAGTATAAGGCCTCAGCTAGTAAGGGAGTGGGGGGTGGGTTGCAGAAACCCCAGGTTCTTCCCCTTATTCTGCCTCTGACTAGGTGACTTCATTTGTTCATTTATTCCTCCAGCCAACAATTATTTATTGAGCATCTACGATATGCTGGGCACTGGGGATATAAGAGGGCGTAAGCCAAACAGCATCTCTGCCTTCCAGGGCATATGGTAGTCTAAGGAGGAAGGCAAGCTAATGGTCAGCCAACTGTAGCATAGATTGCTCAAGGCTCAGGTGGGTGCACCCAGAATATTGTGAGTGCAAGGCAAGGACAAGGGCAGGGAAGACTTTCCAGCTTAGCTCTGAAAAATAAGTTGAAACTAGCTTGGTAAAGGAAAGACCAAGGAAAGGTAATTCCAAGTAGTGAGAGGAGTTTGGAAAGGTCTGGAAGGGAAAGAAAAGTTTGGATTTGAGAAAATATAAGAAATTGGATATGCTGGAGTATAAAGTTTAAAGGAGGGTAGAGAGAGGCAAGAAATGAGTCTTGAGAGGTGAAAAGGACCAGAACAAGATGTTGGTATGTCTCATCACCTAATTGATCTCCTTTCTTCGTTCATAAAACCCTTGAGGGGACGCCTGGGTGCTCAGCAGTTGAGCATCTGCCTTCAGCTCAGGGTATGATCCCAGTTCAGGGGTCAAGTCCTGCATTGGGCTCCCTGTGACAAGCCTGTTTCTCTCTCTGCCTATATCTCTGCCTCTCTCTCTGTGTCTCTCATGAATAAATAAATCAAATCTTTTTAAAAAAACAAAAACCCTTGAAGTGGGCCAGAGCTAAGTGAGATCATGGAGAGAAGACAGTCTTCAGAAGCCACAGCATTCTGGACAGAGAGGCAGGAGAGCAGCAAGACTTTCCTAACTGAGCTGGGGGTCAGTGGGGATCTAGATGGTTTGTGGAGGGCAATGAGGTCTGTGGACGGCTGAGCCTTTGGGGTAGCCTGATTGAGGTGTGGCTAGAGTTCAAGACAGAGTCGGGGCTGGAGACAGATTCAGCAGCCATCAGACAACATTCCAGATGTCCTGCAGAAGGGTGTGCAAGAGGGAAAAGCTGTAGAACGATGTGCACAGGGACCCCCCCGACCTGCCCTAGGCCTACACTGAGTGGGGAGAAGTGGGGAGGGTTCAGCAGGGTGTCTGGATAGACTGGACCAGGCAGGGTCCCTTGAAGGGTTTGTTCCAGTACCTGATGAGATGGGCCTCATATCTGCCTCCTGTGATCCTAGGAAAACCAAACACGACATCCAGATCGTGAAGGATGGCAAATGCGGACCCTCATCGCAGCCTCTTAAGCCATGAAGCCTTGGTCTAGAGAACAGTGGTGGGAGTGGAGGATGTGACATGAATAAAAGATCCAGCCCAACTCAGCCAAGTGAGCCAGTGTCTTTGGGGACTCTGGGGAAGTGGTTGGTGGTGGTGGGCATTTGCCCTGACTTCCCTATACTTAATCTGATGTCTTCTCCATCACCCCAGTGCTCCTCAATCCGGTCACATTTCCCTAGAGGTCCCAGGTCTCTTCTGCTTCTTCAAGAAGTCAGCCTCTGTCCCCAGTGGGCATATCTGCCCCAGCCTGCTTGTCACTAAGGTCAAGAACCTAGGTGACATCTGTACCGTCTGCCATTGCCAGAGAGCTGCACCCAGCCTTTGGGAAAGTCCTACACCCTTCATGACCTTCCCCCTGGGCTGCACCAGCACCCCAAGTTTTAAACACATGTGGATACTGCTGTGGCTGATATTTAGGTAGTATGCACAGTATATCTGAATTACTTGTTAAAATACTGACGTAGGTCTGTAACCCCAAGACTTTGAGTGTCCCACCGCACCTTGGCCACCCATAGCAGGATGACTTCCAGACCCTGTTCTGTCCTTTTGGTCACCATCCATTCTGCTAATGTTGGCACTGGACACAACCCCAGGCACACGTGTACCTATACAATATCCTACAAAAATACACAGCACCCAGAAATCCCACCACAGAGACCCCAGCCTAACCCTAACCTTAACCCTAACCCTAACCCCTAACTGGTCCATGTCAAATATACCCTCTTTGGCCAAAGCTAACAGGAGCCACTTGATAATGATGGCAGAAAAGAGTGTAGACATTGTTTCCTCTAGCCAGTAGAAGCAGTATCACATGGACTGATTCCTGCTTTAGGGTGGGCAGACAGAACAGGATATGTGCTGTGGGAAAACACTATAAAGCCAGGGCAGAGAAGGCAAGAATCAGTGTTCCCCAGACACTTGAAATGGGGATGTGGCCCTGAATTGCTGTTAACAGATTTGCAAGTGGCAGGGACTGAAAGGTCATCTATGGGCCCTGATACTTACTGCTACTGGTAACAGAAACTTTTGCCCCTCTGCTGCATAGGATGCAGTGTTAAATTTGGCTGTGAGAAACCCAAATGTCAAAATAGCAGTGGCTTATACAGTTAATTTCTCTCACACATAGACCTATGCAGTACGCTAACTTCATGCTCCTTATGTATTGTTACTCTGCCATCATCAGTTTTCCCTTCAATGTACAAGACAGCTGCTCTAACTCCCGCCAAGTCTACATTCCAGTCCACAGAGAGGTAAAGAAGGACACCCTACTGCCTCTGATGATGCTTCCCATAAGATGTACATACCTGTTCTCCTGTTGCCTAAAATGTAGTCTGCATGCCCAGCACAGAGAGACTGGAAAAAAACTGTTATGATTGGCCATGTGCTAAGCTGAAAATCAGTTCACTTATTATTGGAGGAGTGACTATTGGTGATGTCTAAGCCTCTGCCCTAAGTGGGAAGCCCCTCTTATACTCAGGTGGCATAGCTTCTTGGCCAAGCTTCCTGTTGGTGACCCTCTGCTCCCAGGCTTCCATGCACATGAGGAGGAATTCCAAAGATTGCGCCTGCACAATATGCCAGGCACCAGGCACCATACTGAAAGAATGACCTAATCCCTCACTTTGCAGATGTGAAAACTTGGCCCTGTCACTGGAAATGTAACTGCAGGCTCCTAAAGGCCCTATCTATGGCATGTGATCCTGCTGCCCTAGCCATTATTATCAGCCAAAAAATTCTTCTCCAGGATTTTTTGAATCAGAAGGAAGGAAACAGGTAGTTCCTCTTTGGTAGTGAAGCTGTAAAATGTGTGAAGTGGGGACTGCTGACAGCCATGTTTCCTACTTTGTGGAAGAAGCAGGATTAAGAGAATGATGCCAGCATGCAAAGAAAGAGATGCAGAGAGTGATTCCAGGTTGTGTTTGAACTCCTGAAGCCCAACTGCCCTTGAACATCCCCCCAAAGCTACATTGGATAACTTGACATCCTGCCAATAAATTTATTTCATTCTTTCTTTTTTAAGATTTTATTTGAGAGAGAGAGTGAGGGAGGGAGAGAATAGAACCCAAGGGAGCAACAGAGGGAGAGGGAAAAACAGACTCCCTGCTGAGCAGGAAGCCCAATGTGATGCAGGTGGGGCTTGATCACAGGACCCTGAGATCATGATCCAAGTCAAAGGCAGATGTTTAACTGACTGAGCCACCTAGGCACCTTTTTCTTTCTTTTCTTTTCTTTTCTTTTCTCTTCTTTTCTTTTCTTTTCTTTTCTTTTCTTTTCTTTTCTTTTCTTTCTTTCTTTCTTTCTTTTTTCTTTCTTTTCTTTTCTTTTCTTTTCTTTTCTTTTCTTTTCTTTTCTTTTCTTTTCTTTCTTTCTTTCTTTCTTTTTTCTTTTCTTTTCTTTTCTTTTCTTTTCTTTTTTTAAAGATTTATTTATTTAGGGATGCCTGGATGGCTCAGTGGTTGAGCGTCTGCCTTCGGCTTAGGGTGTGATCCCAGGATCCAGGATCGAATTCCACATTGGGGTCCCTCTGAGGAGTCTGCTTCTCCCTCTACCTAATTTCTCTGACTCTCTCCATCTCTCATGAATAAATAAATAAATCTTAAAAAAAATATATTTATTTATTTTAGAGAGAGCGCACATGAGCTGGTGGCAGGGGGAGCAGAGGGAGAGAGAATCTCAAGCAGATTCCCTGCTGAGCCCAGAGCCCCATGTGGGGCTCGATTTCACATCAAGATCAGGATCTGAGCAGAAGCCAAGAGTGGGATGCTTAACCACCTGAGCCACCCAGGCACCCAAAAAAATTTTCTATTTCAACAATCTCTTTGGAATTTAGTTTCTGGTACTTTCAACTAAAAGAGTCCTGACTACCAGAGGAAGAAGGGCTCCTCAGAGAAGGTAACCTTTACGCTGTTAAAGGAGAAGTAGAAATTGTTTAAACAGACAATGCGTGGGAGAATTCTTTCAGCTGTGAGACTGAAGGATGTTTATAGGATCACAGAGCCCCACTGGTTCCCCTTGTAGTAGGACTGACCATGTCCCGGGAGAGTGGGCAACAAGGAGTGTTCTTTCCCTGTTCACAGGCAGAGATACCCTGTGGATGTACAGATCAGTGTGGGTGGGACTTGTGCACAGGCCCTAGTAACTACCCCATACATGTACCCAATAGCCCATGCCCTAGGGCCTCTCTTCATCCTTAAATCAAACAATGGCTGTTGATGCTGTAAATTCCAGTACTGATGAAGGGTAGCTGTGTGTATTTCACTGTGGATGTGTGCATTCAACATTCATTCATTCTCCAAATATTTATTGAGCACCTATTATAAATAGGCAATGTGCTTGAAATATGCTGTTAACAAGACAAAGATGCCCCTTAACCCAAGAAATTTAGAGTCGAGGGTTACAGGTAAATATTAATCAAACAATCCCACAAATAAATCATGGTTTATCATGCTATTTATCATAAAAAAAAGTTATGGCAAATTGTGAAAGGGTATCACCTGGGGGTTTGATAGGTTCTCTGATAGCAGATGAGGTTTTGCCATGGAAGAGACATTTGAGTTAAGTTCAAGGGATGAACAGGAATTACCCAGGAAAGGGGTGGGGTGCGGGTTGGGGAAGGATGGTGAGGAGCTGTCCAAACAGAGGAATAGTATATGCAAAACCCCCAGGCAGGATAAGGCACAGAGCATATGGAAGACCAGAGTGCCTAACAGCAGACAGCAAATAGGACAGTGGTCTGGGATGAAAGGGAGAATGCTTAGGGTAGGGACTTTGACTTTTATCTTAAGAGGACTGACATGCCGAGATCTGCGCTTTATGACAGCTCTGGTTGCTCGGTAGAGACACTGCTCTGCAGAAGGCCAGAGAGGAAGTGGCCACTAACGAGGGAGAGAGAGAGAAAAGAAGAGAGATGAGAGTGAGCAAGCGAGCCCATGCTGTTGCGAGGCAGTATAGTGGAGATTAAGGGTGTGGGTTCTCAATCAAACCATCTAGCTTTATATCTCGGCTTTGTCAATTATGACCTTGAAAAATTACCCAAGCTCTCTGCTTCCTCGGCGTTAACATGGGGACAGTATCTGTCTACCTCCCAGAATGAGGATAAATGACTAAGACACCTGAAGAACTCAGAACAGTACCTGGCACACATTCTCATTACATGTGTTGGCACAACAGGCACACAGTTACCATATAAGAACTATTAGATTAACACTGAACTGCTGAAGTGGGAAGTGGGCTGGGCTGGGCTGAGTCTCATCCACTTGTCCACCCCTGTCCTAGGTCCCACCCGTGCATTCCTACATCCCTGGGGCTTCAATGACTCTCTCTGCCAAATAAGGTTGGCCTGAGAGTGGCCTGTTGGAAGCCTGGTTCCTAGGCACTGTGTGAAAAAAATGGGGTGACAGCAGCTGACCCAGTTGAGTCATACAGGGCCACTCCTGATTTTAACAAATTACAGCTAAAACAGGAGGCTTTTGCATCTCATATTTCATCCAAAAAAAGTTAAGCATTCTTTTGCTTGCTGACATGTAGATAAACTGCTTTTAAAAAGAAATAACAGTTGGGGAGGGGGGATAGGCCACAAAACTAAAAGGAACAGCCTTGAAGGAAACATTGACCTCAGAAGGGGTATGATCAATAGAAATATCGTTGAGGAACTCCTTAGAAGTTTATCGTTGCCTTCATCACCTGCCTCACCATGGTTCTTCTCCCTGTCCCCTTAAGCCATATTTGTGACCTGGTTTTAAGCAGAGATTCAGTCAACACCAGGTTCTAACCTTCTAAAGATTTACTTAAGTACAAGGAAGTCCATGCATCAATACAAGCCCCACCCCAGGAATGGGCCTCTGAGATCTCATGGCCTGTGGCTGGGTGGTGAGGTCTGTAAACCAACAACCCAGACATCTGTTCCGGAATTCGGTTACAAATCAAGAAATATTTGGACTACTCCGTGTGTCAAACACCTGTTCTGACCCACTCCCACCATTCCTGACTAGATGTAACTTCCTGGTGATTCTGGGTTACATCTACTGGCTATAGAATCACAAGGGCAAAAAGGCCTCATGAATCTGAGGACCGGGGGGCTATAAACCCAGAATTACTCCAACACAAATGAGAGGTTCTGCCAACCCAAGGGAAGTACCCAAAGGTCGAAAGAGCTGGGAAGACTTGGCAGGGGAGGTCCTCTCCAGACAAGGTAGGCTGCTGGACAGCGCAGCCACACAGAGAAACAATGAGAAAACAGACAGGGGCTCTACTTAGGACTGCAGACAACACTTGTTCATCAAGAACAGGGGTAGGTTCAGGAAAACTGGCAAGTGGCCAATTGTCCCCGGCAGCCCTGGTGAAATCAGGTCACTTCTGTCCCAGAGAGGGCAGAGCTGGTGGAACTGTTCTTCAGGGCGGCCCAGCCTCTCTCCACCTCACCTCACTCAGCCAGAGCCAAGTTTGTGGACTGCAGCCGCTCTGTCTCCTGGCAGATGTTCTGCTCCACCGTGTCACACTCAGCCAGGAATGCCTAAAACATGAATGCAGGGCAGTGAGGGACCATCCAGGACTAGCCATTCCCGGCCCATACAAAGCTCTTGCTCAGCCATTATGGGGAACCCCTGGGTGAAGGATTTAAAACAGGCTATAGAGGAATGGAGCCAGCCTGGGCTCCCAGATAAGGGGAGGGAGGCAGAGGCCAGTGTAGGAGCAGGGTTTCTGACAACAATCCTCCAGAGGGGTGGTGAGGACAGGAAGCCTTGCCACTGTACTGCACAATTTCAGGGAACATGAATAGTGCCTCCTGAAATTGTATCATATGGCAGCTATAACTGCTCTCCAACAATCTTCCTCCCCAATTAATTTAAAATTCAAATACAATTACAGGGACATGAAAGGAGCTCTTCTCTTAGATTCTGGGCTCATGAAATAACCACCAAAAAATGTCCATACCACACATCACACTTTTGCCCTACCCTACTCTGAACAGATAAACACACATATTAAACTTTGAATGCTTGATCACACAGCTCACCTGAACCCTTTTCACCAAACCCTTCCTTTTCAGTCTACTGTCTTTGAAATTTTCCGGCAGAATCTGTGGAAGAATAAATTGACACATAAATAATCTCAGTAAGAATGACATAACAACATGATGAAATACCCACAGTACACCAAATGCATCATAAGTCACCAACATGAACGAGACTTGCAATTTCAGGAATGATTTCCTCCCTTGATCTGTATTCCACATGGCCCTTCCCATGGCTCTCACCCCTATAAAAGCTCCCTTTGCTCTCAGTGTCTGGGCCATGGAAACTGATCTGTACCATGGACTTTGTCCTTTCTCTCCTTTCTGTGTACAGATACTATGTCCTGGCCATGCCATGAGCTCACTGTGCTTCTTCTTTACAACCTCCCTCACTCCCCAAGAATCCTATGCAGAGTAATTCACCCTCAAAAATGAGGCATCTAGCTGGAAATATCATTACCATCTTTCTGTAAAAGGGATCATGGAGTTGATGATTCCCAATAGTCTCACAAGAGACTGAGTCTGGCTGAATTCTTTACAGATAATCAACCCAATGGAATCACCAGTCATATGAGTATCATGAAGCTTTCTGTTTCTCTGGCGATAAAATCACAGTCCTTTTGGGTTCCAACTTTGTGAGGATTAGATGCTTTTAGGAAATATAAAAATGACAAAAGCCCTACGTTGGTGGATGTGACTGCTTAAAAATCAGGAACTATCTTGTCTTTCTGTGTATCTACCAAGGACTGAGCAGTGTCTCGCACACAGCAGGTGCTCAATATCCTCAGACAGTAAGAGTGCTTTACTGAAAGAGTGAAACTCACTGAAAAAGAGTCAAAGGAGGGCAGCCCAGGTGGCTCAGCGGCTTAGCACTGCCTTTGGCCCAGGGTGTGATCCTGGAGACCTGGGATCGGGTCCCACATCGGGTTCCCTGCATGGAGCCTGCTTCTCCCTCTGCCTGTGTCTCTGCCTCTCTCTCTCTCTCTCTCTCTCTGTGTGTGTCTCTCATGAATAAATAAATAAAATCTTAAAAAAAAAAGAGTCAAAGGAAACTAGTTCTTCTCAGCTGAATATTTACTTACCAGTGTGTCAATCTCTTCCAAGATCTTCATAAATTGCTCGATTGTGGCTTTTACTCTCCTATCAAGTTTGCAGAGAGCTTCAGCTTGCAAATCCTTGGCCAGAAAACCCTGTACAGGAATAATGCATTCTTGCAAGGGTTCCTTGAGGCTGACAGAAAACTTCATGCCAAGGCACTGATGAAGTGGTTTGAAAATAGCAATGACAATCACACTTATAAGGGCTGCCCGGGTGGCTCAGCGGTTTAGCGCTGCCTTCAGCCCAGGGCATGATCCTAGAGACCCGGGATCGAGTCCCACATCGGGCTCCCTGCATGGAGTCTGCTTCTCCCTCTGCCTGTGTCTCTGCCTCTCTCTCTCTCTGCGTCTCTCATGAATAAATAAATAAAATCTTTAAAAAAAATATACACAATAACACTTATAAAAGCACTTAGTATGTGTCAGACTTAAACTACATCATTAAAAAAAAATTTTTTTTAAAGCAAGCTCTATGCCCAATGTGGGGCTTAAACCCACAACCCTGAGATCAAGAGTTGTGTGCTCTACCAACTGAGTCAGCCAGGTACCTCTCAAACTGCATCATTTAATCCTCACACCAATCCTAAGGAGAGGTACTATCATTTTCCCCTTTTATAGATAGGGAACTTGAGACAAGGAAACTTGCCCACAGTGATAGAGGGTAAAGCCAGGATCTAGACCCAGGGAATCCAGACTAGAGAGCCTGCCCTAACCACACATTTGTATCTCCCCAAAAAGAGTGACCTGTTGAATTCCAGTAAGCTCTTTGTTCAACCCTTCCAGTTGGTTAGCTATCTTCTCCACAGACTTCTCCAAATCTTTCAGTTTCTTTAGTTCAATCTCTTCCTCTGGACTGTTCTAAAATGTTTAAGAATAAAATGAAGTCAATAATCACCAAAAATAGTAGCTTCTGACTGGGAAGAAAAAAACCTAATGACAATTGGGCTAAAACCACTCACCTGGAAAAAAATAGCTTTGATTCTGCTGCTTCTTGGAAAGCTAGAGGGTTACCCATGAATGTTTTCTACCCACAAAGATGCTAGACTAGAGAGAGAAATACTAAGTAAACATTCTGCAGGGACCCAGACAGCTTGGGTTGAGAGAATGGAGCCAAGTCAAGTGCCAGATTCAACCCGAGCCTGGGGCTGATCAGCAGCTGACTCCAGACTGAAGCCTCCAAGGGAAACAAAGGACAGTGGACACCCGTGAGGAGTCCACCTGGTGAGACAGGTGCAATTCTGCCATTCCCTTGACTGAATTCCTAAGTGCTACCCACCAACTGAGGGCTCCCATTTAATGAGGACGAGGACAAGGATGATTACTTTTGTTGAGCAGTCCCTCTACTATGCTAAACCTTTGTCTGTACTATTGTTTTAAGCCTTACCACAACCCAGGGAGGAAGGCAGGGTTTTATTTTATTTTATTTTATTTTATTTTATTTTATTTATTTTTAAGATTTTATTTATTCATTCATAAGAGACAGAGAGAGAGAGAGAGAGAGGAATGCAGAGACACAGGCAGAGGGAGACGCAGGCTCCATGCAGGGAGCCTGATGTGGGACTCGATCCTGGGTCTCAAGGATCACGCCTTGGGCTGAAGTCGGCGCTAAACCGCTGAGCCACCTGGGCTGCCCAGAAGGCAGTGTTTTAGATGAAACTGAGGTTTAATGTAAAGTAACCTAAGTCACATAGACCAAAAGAGTTGGATGGAGACTTGAAATTGGACTTGGCCTCACATACCCCAGGGCAGTTCTAATTAGGGTCCTATTATTTCTTTAAACTCAACCGTTAAATTCTGCCCATTACCCAGAACTATTCACCCTGACCCTTGAGCAAGAAATCTAGACTATTTCCCCTTCTCTTGTCTCAACAATTGGTAGTCAGGGCCAGCAAGTTTCCTGCTTGTTCCAAATTGTTCACATTCTTCTTCGTGGCCAAATCCTGAGTGCCAGACTCCTGACTGTTCTGTGGCTGGACTAGATATTCTTTGCCTCCACTTTGCTAATCTCTGCCCTCTATCCACTCTGAATTAGCCACCTCACTCAAAATAAGGAAACTTCCTATGACCAACAATTCCACTGCGTCACAATGCCTGGCTGGCCTGAGCCCTCTCTCATCACCCCAGGGACTACTGTCCTCACCAACTGGCTCTTTTCCTACCTCAATTTAGTCTGAACCTTTCTTTCTAGCCAAAGAGGGCTTTTTCTTGTGGAAGATTTTAGTGGAAAAGGTGTTTAAAGGGAGAGAGACTCATGAAATTTGCAGAGAACTTATTTTAAAAATCTGTAAGCTCAGGGACACCTGGCTCAGTGGTTGAGCGTCTGCCTTTGGCTCAGGGCGTGATCCTGGGACCTGGGGATTGAGTCCCGCATCAGGCTCCCTGCGGAGAGCCTGCTTCTCTCTCTGCCTGGGTCTCTGTCTCTCTCTCTGTGCCTCTCATGAATAAATAAATAAAATCTTTAAAAATCTATAGGCTTATTTTAATAAAAGTTTCTCTTGCAAATCCCCTCCAAGTGAGTAAGGCCTCACTCAGGCACATTTTGACAGATTGAGATCCACTACCAACACAAGAACTACGTTATTGAAGCAGCATAACTATTCATAATTCCCAGAGCAAAAGCCATAGTCAACAGGAGCCAGAGACCATGAGAATAACAAACCTGTAACCCCATCAAATAAAGAGAACTACAACTGTTTTGAGATAGCTATTTCACTAATGCAGATTCTGGGTCCCCAATTTGGCCTTCCAAATAGGAAGGAATATGTATAAAAGACCTTAATCCTTTGATTCTGGAGTATTTTGATAGAGAAAGCAATTTACCTTCTTCCCAATTAACATGACTCGACAACCATTTTGTATTCCAAGGGCTGACAATGGCTTCTCCATTTCCTTCAGAGATTTTCCTGAAAAGAAAAGTTATGCCAAATGGTAATAAATTATACAACACTGAAAATAGACTTCAGCAAGGTTACAGCAAATAGACAAGTGTGTTCACTAGATGAGAAGGGGATAAATTGGTGTAATCTTTCCCAAAGGTGCCTTGGTCCAGGAATTTCACTTCAGATTTTATTCTAAACAAATAACTGGACATATGCCTACATAGTAAGTGTTATAAAATAATCTTCAATGCAACCTTAATCATTAACAGTGAGAAACTAGAGACAAACATTTAGAAACAAGGGGCTAATTAACTATATATCACTACAACGGAAGACTTTGTAGGCATTAAAGCAAATTTTTTTCAGGAAACTGCAATGCCACAATAAATGATGGCTCAGTTTTGTAAGAAAAAGGTAATAAAAACTGTATAATCAACTAATCTGTTTTGTGAACTAAGCGCACACACACACACACAAATAAAAACCTATGCTTCAGGATGCCTGTACAAATGGATAGAAATATGCTGAAATGTAATGAGGGGTTTTATCTGGGAGAACATTTTCTTCTTTGTGCTTTCCTTCATTTTGAAACATGGATTTCTATTGCCTTTTATAATTCCATAATAGAATGTTTTTAAAAAGAAAACACAAGGATGGGGTGCCTGGGTGGCCCAGTTGGTTAAGCATCTGCCTTCAGCTCAGGTCATGATCCTGGGGTCCCAGGATAGAGCCCCGCATTGGGCTTCCTGCCCAGCGGGGAAGTCTGCTTCTCCCTCTGCCCCTCCCCCTGTTCCTGCTCTCTCTCTCAAATAATTTTTTTTTAAGATTTTATTTATTTATTCATGAGAGACACAGAGAAAAGGCAGAGACATAGGCAGAGGGAAAAGCAGGCTCCTTGCAGGGAGCCCGATGCAGGACTCAATCCCGGAACTCTGGGATCATGCCCTGGGCCGAAGGCAGACGCCCAACCACTGAGCCACACAGATGTCCCTCAAGTAAATTAAAAAAAAAAAACAAGAAAACAAAAAATAAAACAAGAAGTTACACTATAAAGTATAAATAAAAATGCTTCCCATTGCTAAATTCATTATGACGGGCACCAAATGGGATAAATGTGGCCCTATGAGATACACAATAATAAGTTCCCTTGGGAATGGGAAGAAAGAATGGGGATAGAAGGGAGGTGGGTCCCGGTAGAAATCAGCAACATCTACTGGGCCTGCCACATCCAGATCCCTGGTAAGTTTGTTCAGCACTGTGCTGAGCATTGGACACAGCAATATCTTCCCTCAGGGAGTTAGTTATTCTAACAGAGAAATGAGATGCTCAGCGACTATGAAAACACTTAATAGTAATTTCAATACAAGTCATACAGAAGTGGTAGAGAGTGCCATATGCACATATGTTGGGAAGAGGGTCTAACTTAGCCAGGGAGAATTACCCATGTGCTTTCAGAAAAATGGTAAGATTTCTGCCATCCTCATGGGACTTCAACTCTAATACCTAACAAAATGTTTGAAGGTGTCAGTATATAGAAGATCCTCAATAAAATGTGTTGAAGGGGATCCCTGGGTGGCTCAGCGGTTTGGCACCTGCCTTCAGCTCAGGGCATGATCCTGGAGTCCCAGGATCGAGTCCCACATCCAGCTCCCTGCGAGGGGCTTGCTTCTCCTTCTGCCTGTCTTTGCCTCTCTCTCTGTGTCTGTCTCTCATAAATAAATAAATAAAATCTTAAAAAAAAATTTTTTTTAATAAGTAAAAAAATAAAATGTGTTGAAGGAACAGATGAATAAACAAGCAAATAAGAATTATCCCAGTTTAGGGGGATCCCTGGGTGGCTCAGCGGTTTAGCGCTGGCTTGAGCTCAGGGCGTGAACCTGGAGACCTGGGATTGAGTCCCCTATCGGGCTCCCTGCACGGAGCCTACTTCTCCCTCTGCCTGTGTCTCTGCCTCTCTCTCTCTCTGTATCTCTCATGAATAAATAAAATCTTAAAAAAAAAAAAAAGAATTATTGCAATGAAACGCCAGGACACCTGCACCCCGATGTTTATAGCAGCAATGTCTACAATAGCCAAACTGTGGAAGGAGCCTCGGTGTCCATCAAAAGATGAATGGATAAAGAAGATGTGGTTTATGTATACAATGGAATATTACTCAGCCATTAGAAACGACAAATACCCACCATTTGCTTCGATGTGGACGGAACTGGAGGGTATTATGCTGAGTGAAATAAGTCAATCGGAGAACAAACATTATATGGTCTCATTCATTTGGGGAATATAAAAAAATAGTGAAAGGGAATAAAGGGGAAAGGAGAAAAAATAAGTGGGAAATATCAGAAAGGGAAACAGAACATGAAAGACTCCTAACTCTGGGAAACGAACTAGGGGTGGTAGAAGGGGAGGTGGGCAGTGGGTGGGGGTGACTGGGTGGCGGGCACTGAGGTGGGCACTTGATGGGATGAGCACTGGGTGTTATTCTGTATGTTGGCAAATTGAACACCAATAAAAAATAAATTTATTTAAAAAAAAAAGAATTATCCCAGTTTAAAAACTAAGAGTTACTATTAGGTGAGGTTAAGCAGTTTTAAATAGGCCCTTTAGCCATAAGGACTCAAAGCTAGAAAAGAAATGCCTACCTTTAAATATAAGTTTCTGAAAAGGCAGTGGGACCCCTGTGGCCTCTTCAACAACCTGGGCCAGGTCTTGGACAATTGGCTCACTACAGCCCTGTTGCGGGGTAACATGAAGATCGTGCTTCTCATTGCCTGGGGAGAGAGAAGAGTGTTCGATGAAGAAAATTCTTTCACATAAACCAATACAGGCTGACACTTTATTATATTTATTTATCCAGCCTTCAAGGCCCCGTTCATTTGCCACCTACTCCAAACAGCCTCTCCCCTGCCATTTGCCCAGCTTTGGTGACCTGCTCAAGGATTTTTGTTTCCTGTGTAATAGTAACAATTTAGTGATTATCAGCTAGCATTTTAAGCACTTCACGTGCATAAAGGACTGACAACTCATTTCAAACATCATCTAATTTAATCATCAGAACAACCCCATCAAGTAGGTACTACCTATATTAATCCCCATTTCACAGATAAGCAAACTAAGTTCAGTCCAGTTAAGACCTGCCTATGGAGACCCAACTGAGGAGTCTGAACTTGACTTCAGATCTATCTGACTCCCAAGGCCATGCTTTTCATCACAAGTCATCTGCTTCCTGTGGCCTAACTGCCCTCTACTCTGTACTGTAATGTTCTTATCTCCTTCGCTGTCAGGAGTAAGGGATTATTTTTCCTACAAGTCTGTCCCAGTGGGCACACCTGGGCACCTACACAGTTGGTGCTCAGTAAATAGACAACGAATGAGTAAACTCAAACAGAAGAAAACTTATTAGCTCAATTATTTTCCAGGTATATGGACAGTAAGAAAATAGCCCATGCCCAGTGCAGATGCCAAGCCTTAAGCCTGCACAAGAGCCACATGAAGTTAGTGGAGTAGGTGCTACCAACTTCCCAGGGAAGAAACCGTAAGTTTATAAAGGAGACATCCTACGGTCACTCAACACTGAAGGATCTAGGATACTGGTCTTCAGATTCTGAGGCCCTGGGGTCTCCCCTAGTCCTGAGGAGCTCTGGAGTGAAGTGACTTCGTTTAAATCGATGTCAGCTCCAACAGTTGACAGACCCAAAGGGTGCCCAGAGCGAATGCTTGGAGCCACAGGCCACTCAAACAACAGTCGAGTTTAGCCTCAGCATACACACAGGTGTCCAGACACACCGACTGCAGTCATACACGACACGGCCAAACACAACCCTGATGTCAAGACTCACAAAAACGGCGCAGGCACACACTAACACATACAACCACGACAAGCACGCACAACGGTGCCAGACACACACAAGACCCCGCGCCTCCGGACGCCAGGACCAACACAGGAACACCCGCTTCCGGAGGACACGTGGCCAACCGCAGGGCCGCCGCCGGACTTCGGCAGTCGGGTCCCGTGCCCGCCGTGCCCGCCGTGCCCGCCGTGCCCGCCCGGCCGTCCGAGCTCACTGTGGGTGACGGTCACGCTGAGCCCGGCTGCCGCCATTTCCTCGCTCTGGGCCACCTCCTGGCCCTGGGTCACCTCTTCACTTTGGGCCACCTCTTCACTTCGGGTCACCTCTTCGCTCCGGGCCGAGCGAGGCCGCACTTTCTTCACCCGCGACCTGCGAGCGCCGGCGGCGGCGCCCCTGGTGGATCCCGCATGCCCGCGGGCCGCACCCCGGGCGGACGATCGCTGAGAGGGAGGCGGACCGCGCTCGGCCGGGAGCACCGACTGGCGCGGCTCCCGGCCCGGCCGAGGGGCGCGCCGCCGGGGACCCAGCCGCTCCCGGTCGCCTCGCGGTCTCCGCGCGCCACCGCGCTCCGCCAGACCCGCGCTTGTTGACCACCCAGCGGTGGGAGCTGAGTTCCGCGCCTTGCCACCCCGCCCGGCTACCTCCCCGCCCCGCCCCGCCCCGCCCCGCCCCGCCCCTCAGGCCAGGCTCCGCCCCTCAGACCAGGCCCCGCTCCCGCCCCGGGGCATTCCGCCAAAGCCGCCCGGCCCCACCCACTCAACCGAGGCCCCGCCCCGCTTATCTGGAGCCACGCCCCGCGCCCCCTCCCCGAGGCCACGCCCCTGGTGACTGCCTGCCACCTCCGACCTCCCGAAGCTCTCCTTCCCCGGAAGGCCGCCCTGAAAACCCGGAAAAAGAGTCGGGAAACTCCAATAGGCACTTTGCGCCTGCGCATGCGGGGGCCGGAAGTCAAGGCGAGGGCGGAGGTGACTCTGCTTCCGTTTCTAGTTTTGCTCCAGTGTTTGGGTTTTCTTCGTGGCCGCCCAAGATGAACCGATTCTTCGGAAAAGCGAAACCCAAGGCTCCGCCGCCCAGCCTGACTGACTGCATTGGCACGGTGGGCACTTGACGCCACATAACTAGGTTCTGGGACTCTTGACACTCCCGACCCCGCCCACCCTCGGTTCTGGCTCCTACTCCTCCATTCCGTTCCCGGTCCCGGACACCTCGGCCCTCTCCACCTCACCTTCGTGCCTGTTACCCAGGTCATTCCTGACGCCACAAACCAGGGACCCCTAACCCTACTTGCACCCAACCCCTTCTGAGGCCTGCTGCTCTTTCTTTTCTTACTCGCTCTTTCTTTCTACCCCAACCAGCCGTAGGCCCGCATCCTTCCCCCCTCTTTTATCCTCCATCTCTCTCCCACATCAGGATCCTCAACTTGATTTCCTAGGTCAACGTATCCGTACTCCCATCCTGGATCTCAGTAACAGGAAATTCAGAACCCTGGCTCCTCAACATTAAGCTACCACCCTGTCTCTAAGCGAATAGCATTAGATTTACAAAGCCCACTTCTCACACACCTCCTGGTTGAGCCCACAGCCTGACTAGTCTCTGATTGTAGGGGACTATCAGCTCAGCCCATTGATCCCCCAAGTTCTTTTCTGCTCAAGCACACTTGAAAGGATCCCTAGAACATGAGAATCGGAAGGGTGGAGTATAGTTTGTAAAAGCCCCCCAGTGTTTTAGGAATCTCCCCCAGTTGGGAACCACTTTTCCACCCTTCTTTCCTCCCCTGCCCCTTCCCATGGAAGTGTATTGTCATAACTACCACTATTTCCTTAAGGTGGACAGCAGGGCAGAATCCATTGACAAGAAGATTTCTCGACTGGATGCTGAGCTCGTGAAGTATAAGGACCAGATCAAGAAGATGAGAGAGGGTCCAGCCAAGGTAAGTAGGCGGCAGCTGCAGAAGGTGCTGCAAAAGCCAAGTTTGAGCACCTATGGAAGTAGGGCCCAGTGGTAGTCTGGTAAGCAGAAAACATGTGAGGGTGTATCCTTCAGGGAAGAGGGTTTTCAGCTTGATACGAGAGGAAGGCTGACATTAAGTCTGGTGGAGAGAACATGCTGACCACTCGTCCAGAAGCATGTCCATGGGAATTAATGTATTCTGCTGAGAAGGTGGCAATCTCAGAACAGTGAGTGCCAGACTGGTCAGGTTAGGTGGGTATAATAGACTGGTTAAGGAATGGCATGCTGGGAAAATTGCTAAACTAGTCATCTGGAGACCAGGGTTCTATTAGTAACACCATCACTATCTACTAGACATGGGTGTCATAAAGTCTTAATATCTTATTTTCGTCTTCTATTAGGTAGAAATATAGATTACTATATTTAAGTTCATGGACTGTGGCTATAGAACTACTTTTTTCTCTGACTCTAACTCATTCAATACTTGAGCTAAGTTACCTAGCGTCACTGAACCTCAGTTTCCCCTGTCTGTAAAATGGGCATAACATCTACTTTTAGTGTAAAGATTAAATGAGGTAATTCATATGACCTACATAGCGCTGTGTCTGGCACATAGAAACGTTCATAAATAATAAATGTTAGATATTATGATCTGTGAGATAATACCTGCTTTTCCCGGAACTTCATTGGAGAAGACAAAATACAATGATTTATGGAACAGTATAGAAAGGGAGGTGACAAAAGGCTCTTCTCAGCCATCGTAGTTGGATAGCATGGAATGAAGAGTGACCAGAGGCAGGAAAGCTCATCTGAACTTGACATGAAAGCCTAAACCATAGTGACAATCATGAAAATGATAGGAAAGTAATCACTTTGCAAATTAGTTCTGAAAATCAGTAATGAAATGACTGCATGAAGAGACAGAGAGGAAATGTAAGGTTGATCTAAAGATTCCTAACCTAGAGAAGTGTGAGATTAGTGGGACCATTGTTAATAATATTTATTAATAAGAGCAGATTGAGGAGTTTGGACACGTTGAGTTTTATTGGATAGCCAAGTTGGCTTTGAGAGGATGTCCAAGTTGGGAATCTCCCTGAGGCAACTGGATATACAAATAGGCACTATTGGGGGTTGCCATGGAAAGAATATGTACTAGGAAAGGGGAATGCAGTTTAGTACCCTGAGATGTGGGATGCAAAGAAAGAGATGAGCTGAGGCCTAAAGACTATGTTTAGGGGGCAGCCCGGGTGGCTCAGTGGTTTAACATCGCCTTCAGCCCAGGGCATGATCCTGGAGACCCGGGATGGGGTCCCTCGTCGGGCTCCCTGCATGGGGCCTGCTTCTCCCTCTGTCTGTGTACAACCCCCCCCCATCTCTCATGAATAAATAAATAAAATCTTAAAAAAAAAAAAAGATTATGCTTAGGAGGTGAAGAAGAGGCCAGGAGCCACTATGTCTACAACTTTGAAGAAGAGAATAAGTAGATATGTAAGTCTGAGGATATGGGAGATTTCTTTTACTATGTGTGTGTTTTCTACTTCTTTTCATTAAAATCTGTTTTTCTCCCCCAGAATATGGTCAAACAGAAAGCCTTGAGGGTTTTAAAGCAAAAGCGGATGTAAGTTATAAGTGTAACCTCCTTTCTTCCAGCAGGTTTAACTAAAAGGGAAATGGTCTTTTATTCTTCAGTTTTTCATACTATTTTATAAGCATTCTTGTTTAATTGCAAATTTCATTTACATATCTGGTGAGGTGGGTTTTTCTCTCCCTGCATGTTTAGCACTATCTGTTGCAGCACTATCCATCTAAACAGAACTTTTTGTTATGATAAAGATGTTCTGTATCTGTACCATTCAGTACATCTATACTATTAGCCAAATGTGGCTAGTGTGACTGAGGAAGTGTTAATTTTAACAATTTAAGTAGCCGTATGTGGCTAGTGGCTTCTGTATTGGGCTGCTCAGTTCTATAGGGTTATCTCATATTTATTTAATTAGAGTATGCATTTCTGTTTGTCTGTAAAATTGAGAATCCTGAATACTTGGTTTCTCCCACCAGAATAGATTTAAGTGTCCTTAATTTATTTTCAGTGACTGTCTCAGTGTTTGAGCAGAAGCCAAATAGCATCTTTGGTGCTTACTCTTGTGGGCTGTTCAGATGATGAGATCTTCTGCAGAGTTGCAGGGGTCAGATGTAAGCAGCTTATAAGGAATCGGAAAGGTTGTTGATATTTCTATTTTTATTTTTTAAATCCTTTTTTATCAGACACCACCTTCCTCCTTTTAAATTAGACAAAATTGGAAGAAGAAATTATAATGCCTTAAAGTGATGAGAGCATGGTAAAACTATTCCTTCTTAGTAGATAGCACTGCAGTTTTTAAGTAACTTTTTTTTATCAAAAGGAATGCATATTCATCATAGATGCTTGGAAAATACATAAACATGAACAGAAGAAATCATTTATCTGGATTCCTACTACCAGAAATATCCATTTTTAGAATGCTGATTTCTTACAGTTTCTTATCTCTGCATGCACATGCACGGAATCTATGCATATAGCTTTTTAGAAGACAAATTATATTATGTATATATGGGTTGTCCTTTTCCACTTTACATTATATCATAAGTATTTCTCTCCTTTTATACATTCTTTGGAAACTTTATATTTTTTATTGAGGTGATGATAATTTCACCACCATTTGCCTGTACCATGAATTGACCAATTTTCAGTTAGATGGTTGCCAAATATTGTGTAAAGACCATAATGACATAAGTCTTTGAGGTAGTATAATACTACCTCTATATCTTTGATATAGAACTTTATTTTAAAAAAACATTTTGAGCACCAGATATTACATCAGGCCAGATGAATTACCTAATTATGGATACAAGATTAGTAAAAAATAATACCTATCCTCAAGAAGTTCAGTCTACTGGAAAAACAGTTTAGTTTTATGTATGAAGAGCCTTAAAAATCGTCTTACCCTTTGCCCCAATAATTCTACTTCTGGGAATTTATCATAGAAGTCATTTGAAACATCATAAAGACATATTATGGGTATGTAGTAATGTAGAAAACAGCAAAGGCTATAATATTAAGTGGAAAATAGTCTCATAACTAAGATACAAAGACAAAGTATTGGAAGGGTACATCAAATGATATTTGTGCTAGAGTGATTAAATTGTTTTTGCCAGTTTTTCTGTATATTTAATTTTTTAAAGTTTTTTTTTAAAGAAAATTCCTATTTAGTGTTAGAGATACTTTCTTCCTGAGGATTTCTATCTGACTCACATTTACCATTCTTAATTGATTCTAAAAAGGTATGAGCAGCAGCGGGACAATCTTGCCCAACAGTCATTTAACATGGAACAAGCCAATTACACCATCCAGTCATTGAAGGACACCAAGACCACGGTATTTCCATAGCACCCTTTCCCATGATTTTATTATTTTACTCTTTTGTTCTTTTCCCATAGTATTTAAAAGACAATTTCACCAACACGGCCTTTTAAGACATTGTGCTCTCTCTTACCTTTTTTTAGGTTGATGCTATGAAACTGGGAGTAAAGGAAATGAAGAAAGCATATAAACAAGTGAAAATTGACCAGATTGAGGTGAGATATATACTAGTTTCTGCAAGTATGTACACTAGTTTTAGAAAGAATCCAAGTGAATGTGTACATGATGGAAAGAACACAGATGATGGATTGAATCTTGGGCTTGCCGTTTACTAACCGGGTGACTTTGGGAAAGGGTACCAGATGTCTCTGTCTTCTTGTTAATGCAAGATCCTTCTTTTTTTTTTTTTTAAGATTTTATTTATTTCTTCATAAGAGACAGAGAGAGAGAGAAAGAGGCAGAGACACAGGCAGAGGGAGAGGCAGGCTCCCTCTGGGGAGCCTGATGTGGGACTCAATCCCAGGACCCTGATCATGACCTGAGCTGAATGCAGACTCTTAACCACTGAGCCACACAGGCATCCCTAACACAAGGATCCTAATGCCCTACCCAGTTATTGTGAGGATGAAATAAATGAGCTTGTGGATCTATGCACGTGATACCTGGCATATACTAGACACTCAGTAAATAAGCAGCCAGTTTCCTATTAGAGACTTCTAACTCACTTAATGATTTTGAGTCTCTTTCCTCAATTGTAAAGTAGTGATGTTGCTACCCATCTCCTAGGATTGTCACAAGTGTTAAATGAGTATATATATGTCAGATGTTTAACACAGTTCCTAGAGTAGAGCTGGTTCCCTTTTCTAGTAATTCTCTTTAGATTTTTTTTTAAGAGTTTCTTTATTTCATGAGAGACACAGAGAGGCAGAGACATAGGCAGAGGGAGGGGTAGCATGCTCCATGCAGGATCCCAATGTGGGACTTGATCCTGGAACTCCAAGATCATGTCCTGAGCCGAAGTCAGATGCTCAACCACTGAGCCACCCAGGCATCCCTACATTTTTTAAATTCAATTTGCCAACATCTAGTATAACACCCAGTGCTCATCCTATCAAGTGCCCTCTCCTCAATGCTCATCACCCAGTTACCCAATCCCCCCATCCACTTGTTCACTGTTATATCCCATACCTTAAACAGTGCCTGGCCATAACTGGTGCTCAGAAAGTTTTTGATGGTTGATAAACAAATGAACAAGAAAAGTTGCTAAAGCAGTTCTGCCTAATTCAAGCAGTATTTGTTGGTTGAGTACTTAACTGTCTTCCTCGCATTTTACTCCTTCTGAAGTATCCTCTGAGAGTGTGGATCTTTAGTACAAGTGAAGGCATTCCTCCCGTCTTAGTTTTTTTCAAGCACCCCTCCTTGGACTGCCTGTGGCTGTCTTTCTTTTTCTTTTTTTTAAGATTTTATTTATTTATTCATAGAGATGCAGAGAGAAAGAGAGAGGCAGAGACACAGGCAGAGGGAGAAGCAGGCTCCATGCAGAGAGCCTGACGTGGGACTCGATCCAGGGTCTCCAGGATCATGCCCTGGGCTGCAGGTGGTGCTAAACCGCTGCACCACCGGGGCTGCCCTGTGGCTGTCTTTCTTTTTTTCTTTTTTTTTTTTTTTCAGAGTTTCTTGGATTCTTTTTTTTTTTAAATAAATTAATTTTTATTGGTGTTCGATTTACCAACATACAGAATAACACCCAGTGCTCATCCCGTCAAGTGTCCCCCTCAGTGCCCGTCACCCATTCACCCCCACCCCCCGCCCTCCTCCCCCTCCACCACCCCTAGTTCATTTCCCAGAGTTAGAAGTCTTTATGTTCTGTCTCCCTTTCTGATATTTCTGTGGCTGTCTTTCTAAACTTCCACCAGTCTTTGCTTACACGGAGTTCAGCTCAGTGACATCTTCTAGGACATTTACTGAGAAAATGTTCTGTGTATATTTGTCTTATTTGTACAATATTATTTGGTAATATAATGAAACTGAATTTTCATTCAGTTTGCTGATCCACCCAGGCATCCCAGTGTTTTCTTTTTTTAAAGTGTTTTTCGTTTTACTTTCTATCATCTTCACTTTTATTTTTTTTTTAATTTTTATTTATTTATGATAGTCACACACAGAGAGAGAGAGGCAGAGACACAGGCAGAGGGAGAAGCAGGCTCCATGCACCGGAAGCCCGACATGGGATTCGATCCCGGATCCTCAGGATCGTGCCCTGGGCCAAAGGCAGGCGCTAAACCGCTGTGCCACCCAGGGATCCCTCATCTTCACTTTTTTTTTTTTTTTAAAGATTTTATTTATTCATGAGATACATAGAGAGGCAGAGACATAGGCAGAGGGAGAAGCAGGCTCCATGCACCGGGAGCCCGACGTGGGACTTGATCCCGGGTCTCCAGGATCGCGCCCTGGGCCAAAGGCAGGCACTAAACCGCTGCGCCACCCAGGGATCCCCCTCATCTTCACTTTTAAATGGAAAAACAGACCTCCAACTTGCAGGCCAAGAGGAGTTCTCAAATGTTTTCCATTGCTCTAAAAATTCTGAAGTATAGGGACGCTTGGATGGCTCAGCTGTTGAGTGTCTTCCTTTGACTCAGGGCGTGATCCTGGAGTCTCAGGATCGAGTCCCACATCGGGCTTCCTGCATGGAGCCTGCTTCTCCTTCTCTCTCTGTCTGTCTCTCTTTCTCTCTGTGTCTCTCATGAATAAATAATAAAATCTTAAAAAAACATAAAAATAAAATTTATGAAGGATAAATGGTGCCAGTTTGGACTTTCTGTATTACCACCACTAATCTGTTCCCTTTCTGTGGAAATTTCAATCTGTGAAGAGCACGTTGATACTCTGCATATCCTTAACACAATGGAAAATATGTAGTGTTAAGTGCTTAGTGTTTTACAAATATTACAATAAAGCCTTAGAAAACCTTCTAAGGTATGGCTATTAACAATCTCATTTTACAGATTAGAAAATTATGGCTTAGAGACTTTATTTCTCACTAAGTAAGGCAAAATTAGAGCTTGCATATGTCTGATTCCAGAGTCTGTGCTCCTAACCATTATATTAGCTGTTCTATATTATGCTGTAGCACTTCTCAGATTGGTTTTACATTATTTCTGGCCTTGTAGTCTTCCAGTTAATCACAGATCATTCACAGATGACTTATGCTCTCAGTCAATTATTTTCACTAGCCTGGTTTTGGGTATCAAGCCTATCCCAATTCCATTTCTGTTTCTCCATCCAGGGTGGGCCTAGTACAACTTTTTGTACCACTCAGTTGTTTCCACTACTGTCCTTTTTTTCCCCTACACAGTGTAGTCAGTCTTTGGCTGACTTAAGATTAATTTGCTTGTCCCTATTACTTGCTTTTCTCCATAAACTAGAAAGATGTTGGTAGTGTACATGCTGCTGGATTCATTGTTTTAGGTAAACGTTCTGTAATGACAAATTGCTGATGGGCATCTGTTCTTGCATACGATTTTAGATTTCCATGAAGCACTTTAAATTCAAATGCAAGATCACCAATTTAATTCTCTCTCTTTTTTTTTTTTAAAGATTTCATTTATTTACTCATGAGAGACACAGAGAAAGAGGCAGAAACATAGGCAGAGGGAGAAAGGGAGAAGCAGGCTGCCTGCAGGGAGATCCCAGAACCCTGGGATCACACCCTGAGCCAAAAGCATATGCTCAACCACTGAGCCACCCAGGCGTCCCTAATCTTTTTTTTTTAAGTTTATGTATATTTTTTGTAGTGATCTCTACACCTAGCGTGGGGCTCAAACCCACGACCCCAATATCAAGACTTGCATGCTCTTCTGACTGAACTAGCCAGGCACCCCAATTTAATTCTTCTTTATTTTTGAATTTACATTTTACTGCCAAAAAGGAGGATTATGTGGGTCATTGGCATTCATAGTTATTGTTGGGAGGAATCTTCAATTTTGTGATTTCTAAATAATTCATTAAGCTCTCTCATATTTTTAATTGGAAGGGGTTTTCAGGAGTTATTCAAACCTGTCCTTTTAAGGAGCATCTGCTCAGTGGCTGGCTAAAAAGAGTCACTAGGTGAGGACAAGTTATGGTAAGGGAAGGAAACCAATAGTTGTTGAGAACTGGTATGTACTTAGCATTTTACATACATTACCTTTTTAAATATTCCTGTTTCTGAGATTCAGAGGAGAAAGTAGAGTGGGGGGTAGTTAGAGGAAAAATAGTAAGAAATGAATGAAAGCTGTCATGTATATTTCTATAAGGACTTACAAGACCAACTAGAAGATATGATGGAAGATGCCAATGAAATCCAAGAAGCGCTGAGCCGTAGTTATGGCACTCCAGAATTAGATGAAGATGACCTAGAAGCAGGTATGTTGTGGGAAAAGGAATTAGGGAAAAAAAGGTTTAGAGTCTGAAAGAAGTAACTTCTTGGGACCTTCTCCCAAATGCTTGGGTTCTGTGAGAGTTAGTTTATGGTACAGCTTCTGGGCAAAGAGCTTGTGAGGCAGGCATGTCAGATTTGCATACTCCACTGACTCAGGGAAAGTCAAGCTACAGAGGGAAGTCGGGGCAAAGGTGTCTGCTCACCTAGTACTTGGTATCTAAATACTACCCTTCCATGCCATTTTCTTTTTCTTTTTTTTAATTTTTATTTATTTATGATAGCCACACAGAGAGAGAGAGAGAGGCAGAGACACAGGCAGAGGGAGAAGCAGGCTCCATGCACCGGGAGCCCGACGTGGGATCCGATCCCGGGTCTCCAGGATCGCGCCCTGGGCCAAAGGCAGGCGCCAAACCGCTGCGCCACCCAGGGATCCTTCCATGCCATTTTCCTTTGGATTTTGTTCTCCCTGTTTTTGGAGTCTTCTCCCTCAGAACAGCAAAGCAGATCAAGAAACAGTCACTGGCAAATACTTAGTGTATATCTACCATATGTACTGTGTTAGGTGCTGGGGGTTCAACATTAAAGAAAGCTAATATGGTCCCTGCATTCATGAAGTTTCTCTAGCCAGAGAAAAAAACTGCTTGTTTCAAGCAATCAATTACAAGAGCACAAACTATTGGGAAGGAGAAGTATGGGGTACTATGGAGCACATGGCTAGAGAATTTAACCTAGTTGGGAGTAGGGACAGGCATGGATCCTGAAGGATGAGTAGAGCTTAGCAGGAAAAAAAAAATGGGAGGAGTTGTTGAATGGCCTTAGGAAAAAATACATATGCTCCTATGTTTATTGCAGCTTTGTTTTTAATAGCCAAAATATGGAAGCAGCCCAAGTATCTATCCATAGATGAAATGATAAAGAAGGTATAGATATACACAGTGGAATATTACTTAGCCATAAAAAAGAATGAAATCTTGCCATTTGCAACAACATGGAGTCCAACATGGTTGGATCTAGAGGTTATAATCCTAAGTGAAATAAGTCCGACAGAGAAAGACAAAAACATATGATTTCACTTATATGTAAAATTTAAGAAACAAACAAAAAAAGAGAGAAACAAAAAATCAGACTCTTTTTTTTTAAATCAGACTCTTAACTATAGAGAACAAACTGGCTAGAGGAGAGGTGGGTAGAGGATGGGAGAAATAAATAAATAAGTGAAGGGGATTAATAGTACACTGGTCTGTAATGAGCACTGAATAATGTATGGAATTGTTGAATCACTGTATTGTATACCCGAAACTAATATAACAATTAATTATACTGGAATTTTAAAAATACATAAAAATCTTTAAAAAAAATAGTGGCTGAGACAAAAGTGGTAGTAGTAGTAGAAAAAGAGAAGTGGATATGGAAGAGGGGAGGTCAAGGATGTCTATCAATGTCTAGCGTGAGTAACTAGGTAGATGACAGAACCACCTCACACTGGATTTGTCACATGATTCCTTTGTCTCAGTTGTTCTCCTCCTCTTCCCTCCCTCCTCTTCTTCTTCCCTTCTTCTCCTCCTCTCTCTCTCACTCCATCTCTTCCTCCCCACCCCTGTTCCTTCTCTCTCCCCATTCTGTTTTTGCCTAGAACCTTATATTTTATTCCCATTAATTTGTTTCCCATCCTGAATTTCCCCTGATAAATCTCTACCTGTCATTCTTCTTGGTCACTTCCAGCCCACTTTACCATAGACTTATTTTTTTTAAGTTTTTTTTTTTTAATTTTTATTTATTTATGATAGTCACAGAGAGAGAGAGAGAGAGGCAGAGACATAGGCAGAGGGAGAAGCAGGCTCCATGCACCGGGAGCTCCATGCACCGGGATTTGATCCCGGGTCTCGACCAGGATCACGCCCTGGGCCAAAGGCAGGCGCTAAACCGCTGCGCCACCCAGGGATCCCTTTTTTAAAGGCTTTATTTATTCATTCATAAGAGACACACAGAGAGAGAGAGAGGCACAGACACAGGCAGAGAGAGAAGCAGGCTCCATGCGGGAGCCTGATGTGGGACTCCAGGATCATGACCTGAACCAAAGGCGGACGCTCAACTGCTGAGCCACCCTGGTGCCCCAATTGTAGTGAAATGCTGACTATTTCAATCTCAGAGTTGGATGCACTGGGTGATGAACTTCTGGCTGACGAAGACAGTTCTTACTTGGATGAAGCAGCATCTGCACCTGCAATTCCAGAAGGCGTTCCCACTGACACAAAGAATAAGGTGAAAGCTTTTTTTTCTTTCTGTAAGCTATGCCAAATGGTAAAGGTTTTATGCCGGATCACCAATTTGGGAATCTACAAGGTAGTCTTAAGTTAGAACAAGGAAAGACTGTCTCAGTCATTATTTGGAGACCCTTTGCATTGGACTGTGGACAGATCATGCCCATTAGTGTCACTGATGCCCAGGAGTGTTTTTGTGCATTAACAATTTGTAAAATATACATAATTACCCTTGCAAGTTTTGCACTGGGTTCCACTTAGAGATTTTAGACAGCATTTCCTGGAAAAGTATCACTAACACATGCATGAACCATGCCAGGCAGCAGCATGACAGAAAGTTTTATCTTTCATACTCATTGCTTAAATGTAGTGTGGATTTTTTATATAAAGATTAATAATTTAAGTATAAAACTTAGTGTAGGAAGATTCTCATTTAACAAGGTAAAGAATCAGGACACCTAGGTTTAAGTCTCAGCCCTGCCACTAACTGTCTTTGAGACCTTGGCAAATCACTTAACGGTTTTGAACTTTTCTGTTCCTTACATCTCTAAAATGCAGATGATTATAAGTATCTCACATAGTTGTATAGACTATGTTAGATCTTGTATGTAAAAGGACTTTGTAAGGCAATGTAATGTAATGAGCATTGGGTATTATATAAGGCTGATGAATCACTGACCTTGACCTCTGAAAATAATAGTACGTGATATGTTAATTAATTGAGTTTAAATTTTTTAAACATATGTAAAAGAGAGACTTTTTTTTTAATTTTTATTTATTTATGATAGTCACAGAGAGAGAGAGAGAGAAAGGCAGAGACACAGGCAGAGGGAGAAGCAGGCTCCATGCACCGGGAGCCCGACGTGGGACTCGATCCCGGGTCTCCAGAATCACGCCCTGGGCCAAAGGCAGGCGCCAAACTGCTGCGCCACCCGGATCCCAAAGAGAGACTTTCTGAACTGAAAGCCCTGTCCAAAGCTGCATGGTTGTCATTATTAGAAACAGATAAAATTCTGTTACTTATGAAATTCTGTCCACTCCATCTTAGTTCCTGATATGTCATTTTTTTTCTATTGCCGTTTATCCTGTGTTTCCCTTATCTCCCAACATGTACACTGAATGCGCAGAATCCTTGAGTAAGAGCCAGTCTCTGCTCTGCCTTTATTCCTGTATGACTTAGAGCCAATTAAAAAAATATATTTCTTTTAAAAAGAAAGAGTTGGGGATGGGTGTTGCAGAAGCAGGGATTCCTCAAGCAGACTTCCCCCTCCGTGCAGAGCTTGATTCAGGGCTTAGTCTCATGACCTGCGTCAAAACCAAGAGTCAGATGCTCAACCAACGGAGCCACCCAGGTCACCCAACTTGGAGCAAGTTAGATATTCTTGTTTTCTCTCTGAAGCTTGCCAGTTTTTCCCACCTATGAAATGTGAGGAGTAAAAGGTGGGGAGTAGCTAATTTCTCCAAATGTGCATCTTCCTCCACTTTACCCCTCTTACTCCATGAGTCCAGGGTAACTGGACTCAACTGCTCATTCCACCTCACCCCATCCCTGCCTCTGACCATGTCAAGGTTCCAGGCACATAGGTTGCTTTTTCTCAGCATACCTGAAATAATTTTTATTAATGCTACCTACCACAACTCACCTTTTTAAATACCCTGTAGCATCTGTGTTTCTATCTTCTCTTTTCTGCTTTAAGAAGATCACAGATTCCTGAGTTAACCGTGCCATTGAGGTGTGACTTCTTAATTAATAGTGGTCTCACTGCCCATAAGTTTGTAGTAAAGTATGATATAGAAGTAACTGTCTATCCTAGGGCACTGCTTTTTTAAGGATTGGGAAGCTACAAAAGGTAGTGGTTCATTTTAGGAATCAGAGTGAAAATGAATCTGGAGACAAGGACGAACTCCTTAGCCTTTCCTGCCAGACCTTCCCCTTGCCCTTCCCCTTCATAGGTTTTACTCTTAAACTATTTCTCTTCCTCTACCCTACAGACAGCCACCCCACCCGTTTTGAGCTTTTCCAGTCTTTTCTTGGTTTATCACTTCCCCCTTTACCTTTCATGAAAATGCTTTCTCAAGTCAGGGAGAGTTTGGTGTTCATTGGTTAAACACTCAGAAATGAGTTTTGACTACTAAATATTTATAATCATTTATGTTATCAATTGAAAACCAGTGGTACTGAACTTTGCTTTCTTTTCACAGGATGGAGTCCTGGTGGATGAATTCGGATTGCCACAGATCCCTGCTTCATAGACTTGCATCATTCAAGTACATCGTGTAAAATAAACACATTATGTGGGAAATATTTATCTTTCCAAATTTACCATAACAGAGTTAGGTTTCTTTCCTTTCTCCAAAGGAAAGTTTAATTACATTGCTCTTTTATTTTTTTCCGTTAAGAGATTCATTGTTTGGGGGATGCTTTCTTCATACTAAATTTTTATTTCCTTTCTCTTATGAAAGACTAACTTACTTAAAAGTGTCAGTGGCTATTTATGACTTGTTTTCATTTATTAATAATAATTTGAAATAAAACCAAGGAAATTGGATCTTTCAATTCTAAAATAGTGTAATTCCACAGTCTCATATTGACCTGACATTGGTAAGAAAAAGATGAGATTATTGGGACTGTTCATACTATGATTCAAAACCATTTTCTATTGTGGTATTATAGGTTGGTTAAAGTGATAGCCTTTTTTGATGGGTTTTATTGTGTCTTGTGAGTAAATCATTACTATGTCTGATATTGGAATGGAATTTATCACTACTGTATCATGAGTGGATATTTTGATTCTGTGGTTCCCTCAGTATTACAGCCTGACTTGTAATCAATAATGACTATTTCTTGATATTTAATGTATAGGACATTTATTTATACTCAATAAATATTTTTCAAAAGGATATAATTTTAATAATATCACTTCAGCCTAAAACTTCTGGTACAGAAAAAACAATATAAGTTTAATGTTGATTTGCCTCAAAACTTTACTGCAGAAATGAAATATAACTGCTAGCATCAGAGGAAAGAACAAAGAACAATCCAGGCCTGGGCCCTGGTCTACCATCTAATAACTAAGCAGCATACTCACTTTGCTAAACTTCTGTTTCCTTATTAGTACAATCATGCTTATCTTACAGGCTTTTGCAAGGAATAATTGAGGTAATGAGTATAGTTGACTCTTAAATAATACAGGTTTGAACACAATCTACTCCTGTGTGGATTTTTTACGGTACAGTATTGTAAATGTTTTTTTTTCTTCTTTATGATTTTCTTTTTTTTTTTTTAATTTTATTTATTTATGATAGGCACACAGTGAGAGAGAGAGAGAGAGGCAGAGACACAGGCAGAGGGAGAAGCAGGCTCCATGCACCGGGAGCCCGACATGGGATTCGATCCCGGGTCTCCAGGATCGCGCCCTGGGCCAAAGGCAGGCGCCAAACCACTGCGCCACCCAGGGATCCCCTTCTTTATGATTTTCTTAATAACATTTTCTCTTCCGTAGCCTACCTTATTGTTTGTTTGTTTGTTTTAAAGATTTTATTTATTTATTCATGAGAGACACAGAGAGAGAGGCAGAGACAAAGACAGAGGGAGAAGCAGTCTCCATACAGGGAGCCCGATGTGGGACTCGGTCCTGGGATGAAGGCAGGAGCTAAACTGCTGAGCCACCCAGGGATTCCCTCTAGCCTACCTTATTGTAAGAATACAATACATAATACATGTAACATACAAAATATGTGGTCGTGTTTATGTTATTGGTAAGGGTTTTGGTCAACAGTAGACTATTAGTTAAGTTTGAGGAGAGTTAAAAGTTCTATGCAGATTTTCGACTGTGCCCTATTCCCCACATTGTTCAAAGGTTAACTGTACTTTGCAACTTGCTATTCTCATATGAGGGCTGTTAACAACAACAAAAATAGCGGCTTCATCCTTTTCTACAGCCAGTCCAAACTCCTGCTCAATTTCAGGGTCTTTAATGATCCATTAATGGCAACTAATCTCATCCTCTCAAGAAGCCTTCCTATGGGAGCAAACATTGTACTATTCATCATTACCTTCTTGAAACCTTCCTTGGCTTCTCTAGTTTCTCATTCAGCTCTTTAAATACTTCTTCCATTATAGTTTCAACCTTGGATTTGAGATATATCACAAGGTATATCCTTGGGACACCTGGGTGGCTCCGTGGTTCAGCATCTGCCTTTGGCTCAGGTCGTGATCCCAGGATCGAGTCTCACATCAGGCTCCCTACAGGGAGCCTGCTTCTCCCTCTGCCTATGTCTCAACCTCTCTCTCTCCCTGTCTCTCATGAATAAATAAATAAAATCTTTAAAAAAAATCTGACATCCAAATTAAGTTTATTGTCTTGGGATTCACTCTCAGCAAACATTCCTGCTCTATTTCTTATCTTGCCAATGTTACCAGTGTCCCATATACCACCAGTTTTAATGGGTGATATTTAGTCCTCCAACTAGACCTCTTTAGTACATTGGATACTAGTGAATCATTCTGACAAAATTTCTACTCCTTTGTTTTTGTGACAATGTATGGGTTTTCCTGTTCTTCTGACTATTGCCTTTAAAACTCCTTTCTGAAATCCTCATCTCTCCAACTCTAATGTTAGTTATTCCTCAGGATTCTAACTAATCCACCATACTTCTTTCTCTGATCACTTTCTCTGATCACGGAGCTCAACTATTCTCATGACATTAACTGCTGACTTCTAAATCAGTACTTCTGTTCCAGATCTTGCCCCTGAGTTTCAGAATCTCTTCAAGTGCAGCTGTTTGCCTAGCATTATTTGAATGTTTGAATGTTCTTGAAGCCAACAAACACTTCATATTCAAGTTGTCAAGACAACCATTACCTTTCCCTCAGACCTGAATCTTCTCCTGTTTTCCTGGCCTCGTTCAGGTGATAGAACCATTATCCTCCATCGTTTAAAACAGAAAGCTCTTGATGCCTACATTTTGCCTCACCCTACACATTGAGTTAATCATCAAACCCTTCTTTTAACCCCAAGTGTTTCTTAACTCCAACCCCTCCTCTCCTTTCTTCTTTCAACTCTCCTTAACCTAGACATCTATCCCATAGTCTTTTGGAATTAATAATGACTTTCTCTTCATGCATACTTTCAGTTCCTCAAGTCCATTCATCACATACAGCTATATTTATCTTTTTAAAAATACAAATCTGACCTGGTCACTACTTAAAGTCTTTCATGGTTTCCTGACACCTCCAGCAAGACATACAAAGCTGCTTGTGACTTGGCCACTGCCTCTCTATATTGGTTTATTGCTTAGTCTTTTCAGAACAACATTCTCTGGGATGCCTGGCTGGCTTAGTTGGTAGAGCACGTGACTCTTGATCTTGGAGTTGTACGTTTGAGCCCATGTTTGGTGTAGAGATTACTTTAAAAATAAAACCTTGGGCAGCCCCGGTGGCACAGCGGTTTAGCACCGCCTGCAGCCCAGGGCATGATCCTGGAGACCCTGGATCGAGTCCCATGTCGGGCTCTCTGCATGGAGCCTGCTTCTCCCTCTGCCTGTGTCTCTGCCTCTCTCTCTCTCTCTGTCTCTATGAATAAATAAATAAAGTCTAAAATAAATAAATAGATAAATAAAAATAAAATATTTAAGGGGATCCCTGGGTGGCTCAGCGGTTTGGTGCCTGCCTTTGGCCCAGGGCTTGATCCTGGAGTCCTGGGATTGAGTCCCACGTTGGACTCCCTGCATGGAGCCTGCTTCTCCCTCTGCCTGTGTCTCTGCCTCTCTCTCTCTCTCTCTCTCTCTCTCTCTCTCTCTCTGTGTGTGTGAGAGAACAAATGAATAAATGAATAAAATCTTTAAAAAATAAAATTTAAAAAGTATATCTATATATATATATATATTTTTTTTTTTTTTTTTTTTTTTTAAGAAGAACAGAGGTGCCTGAGTAGCTCAGTCAGTTGGGCATCCAACTCTTGATTTCGGCTCCGTTCATGATCTCAGGGTGGCGAGATTGAGCCCCATGTCGAGCTCCATGCTCAGTGAGCATCTACTTGGATGTTCTCTCCCTCTGCTACTCCCCCCATTTATGTGTGCTCTCTATTTCCCTCTCTCTCTCTCTCTCAAATGAATAATTTTTTTAAAAGAACATTCTAAAAAAAATAATAAAAAAAGAACATTCTCTTTTTAAAAAATGGAGAAATTTTAAGTTTTTATTTATTTCTTCATTTAAGTAATCTCTGTATCCAATGTGGGGCTCAAACTCATGACTCCAAGATCAAGAGTTGCAGGTTCTGGCAGCTCCTGTGGCTCAGTGGTTTAGCGCCACCTTCTGTCCAGGGCATGATCCTGGAGACCTGGGGTTGAGTCCCATGTTGGGCTCTCTGCATGGAGCCTGCTCCTCCCTCTGCCTGTGTCTCTGCCTCTCTCTCTCTCTCTCTCTCTCTCTCTCTCTCTCAGGAATAAATAAATAAAATCTTAAAAAAAAAAAAGAGTTGTATGTTCTTCCAACTGAGCCAGCCAGGCATCCCAACAATCTCTTTCTTTTACAGAACTGCCTCCCAATATAACTGTGATTATTTCAAAAATATCAATTAGAGTAGCCCTACCCTTACTCTTCTGAGCTATGGGAGTGGGCTTGTGACCAGGCTATGCCTGTTGAAGTTCTTTCCTCGAATTTTCTAAATGGAAACTTCGGGGAAATACTTTCTTCCCCCACCACCCAAATTCTTTGTCAGTATGAGAAGTTAAGGTATTGAGGCCAGAGAGGAGACAAGATGAGAGGCCAAATGAAAGAATCCTCATGGCACCGAGGCCTGACTTCCCATCCTTGAGATTCCCAGAGTGCTCCACGGCCCAGCAACTCTTCCTTTAAATCTGTGTACTTTCTGAGGATTCTGCCAGCAAACTCCCTTTTCTGCTTAAACTAGTTGGAATTGGGTTCCTGTCAGCTGCCAAAAAAGGCCCCAAGCCTTTCTCTGTCCTCTGTCCCACTTTGCAATGTTATGCTATAATAATTGCTTCTAATACCTCCACTTCCACCATAAAGTCATGATTCCCTGCTTCTAACCATACCTTTCCCTGGAGATTCCTTAACACCTTTATCATTCTGCTAATTCTTGCTGTACTTGGGAAGGACCAACAGCCAGGTCTTGGTCTGTGTCCATCTTAGTGAATTTAATGTTAGGAGTATCCCCCATTATTATTTTTAGTTTTTAAAAGATTTTATTTATTTATTCATGAGAGATACAGAGAGGCAGAGACACAGAAAGGGAGGAGAAGCAGGCTCCACGCATGAAGCCCGATGCAGGACTCGATCCTGGAACTCCAGGATCATGCCCTGTGCCAAAGGCAGACACTCAACTGCTGAGCCACCCAGGTGCCCCCATCTTAGTGAATTTTTTAAATTCTTTTTTTCCCCTAAAGATTTTATTTATTTATTCGTGAGAGACACAGAGAGAGAGGCAGAGACACAGGCAGAGGGAGGAGCAGGCTCCACACAGGGAGCCTGATGTGGGAGTTGATCCTGGGTCTCCAGGATCACGCCCCGAGCCAAAGGCAGATGCTCAACCACCAAGCCACCCAGGCGTCTCCATCTTAGTGAATTTAAGTGGAGAAGATGAGTCCTGTGGTAGAGTCAGTCCCAGGCACAGCATAGTCTCTGACGATTTCTCCTGTAGCTGCCACCAGTCAGCATCTCTGAAGCAGAATTGAGTGCAGGTGGTCTCCTTCAGTTGTAATCTGTCAGCCCTGGCGCTTTAGCAAGGGTGGAAAAAATTGGAATGATCCAGTAAGAGAGTAAAAGTTTGGCACTTCAACCTCTTTTCATATTTCATAGCTTTCCTTTTATATTTTCCTACCCTTGTAGATTCTAATATGATAGATCTGAATATGGTGTGAGCAGTTGGATTTTTAAAAGCTCCCAGGTTGGGACACATGGGTGGCTCAGTGGTTGAGTGTCTGCCTTTGGCTCAGGTCATGCTCCCAGGTCTAGATAGAGTCCTGCATCAGGCTCCCTAGTGGGAGCCTGCTTCTTCCTCTGCCTATTTCTCTACTTTCTGTGTGTCTCTCATGGATAAATAAATAAAATCTTTTTTAAAAAAAGATCTAAAAATAATAAATAAAAGCTCCCAGGTAGTTTTTATTTGTAGCCAGGATTCAGAAGCACTGCCCTAGTATGCCAGATCAGTCTGACTCCGTTTTCATGGACAAGCAGCCTGG